AAGAAAAGCAGCTAGAACAGTGAACACCATTATGACTCATACTCAACTGAATTCATTAAAAAAATATTTTTTATTGATTAGAGAAAAATGTCTGCAATAAAAATTAGCTAGAATGCTATTAGCAACCCTGTACTAGCTGTGTATTTAGATGCTGTAATTCTCTGTTACTGCAGAGGATCAGAAAAAAGTCCATTGCATCCTGTAAGGCATCACTGGGGTTTTGTGACTAAAGACAATGACAAAGAGCCAGGACCGCAGGTAAGGCTGCTGGGGCCAGCAAAGGTGCTGGCCCCAGACTCCCCTACCGCACCCAGGACAACTGGCCCTGCACCAACCCCACATGCAGGGGCTTGCACTGAAGTAAAGCAAGTCAGCTAGTCCAACTCCCTGTCTGAGGAAGGATCATCCCTATCCAAACCACCCTATACAAATCCATTGTCTGAGCTATTAGGAAAACTACACAGTGAACCCTGACACAACCACAAGACATAACACCTTAATCTGCCACAGATAAAGCAGGGGAATTATGCCACCTAACATCCTGCTGCTACAAAGTTACTGAAATATGCTTGAGAAATTCAAGGAAGAGGACCAAGCCCCCTGCTACAGAGGAAGGCAAGAATTCCTAAAATCTATACCAATCTGACCACAATGTAAAATTCCTTCCTGACCCCAAACATGGCAATCAGTTGAATTAGGGGAGCAAAGCCCACTAGCTAGGAACCTCCATGTTTAAGTCCCAGAAAGAGCACTGGCATACCTCTGTCAAAATCCCCAGCCTTGGCTGTGGCCAACACCCAATGCTTCTGAGGATCATGACCCCCCCGCCCCCCCAAAAAACCCAAACCCCACCCAAAAAAAATTTCCTCTTCACCTCCCACAAAGAGCTGGAATCCTTTGGCTATGTGTAGGAAAGGTAGAGTTCATTCCTAAGTTACTAAAGATACATTAATTATGAAATCAGCAATAACAAGAATTATCTATTCTGCTCTTTGCACAAGACAACCACAGGATATTATTTCCAGCTGGAATGTCCTACAGCTACAGCTAAGTGAAGTGGTTACTGAAGCATTATATTGTGTTAAACCATCTAGAAAAGAAGAATCTTAAGAGTATACTTGGACTATCAGCCTTCAGCTCTGCAAATGTTTATTGATTATATAGTATCCTTAAAGGTACAAGGGACAAAAAAAATCTAATAGAAATAACTAAAGAGTTCAACTACTCATATCTAAATGGGTCAAATACTACAATGGGATAAGTTTAGCCAAAAAAATTTCTTGGTACCGTAACTGATTGGATTTTGAAACAGCTAGTTCTAGAGCACAGAAAAGGAGAGCCAATTCTTGATGTAATCATAAATACTATGCAAGATGTAGTTCAGGATGCAGGACCATGACAATATACTGTATTTACTCAAATACAGGATGCAGTTTTTTCCCCCAGTTGGCATAGGAGAAAAAGCTCCTGGTTTTATAATTGCAGACAAAGATATCTCACTAAATACATTGTCTATCATTATCTGTCATTAAACCAAAACCGCATGTGCTCAGCAGTGAAAACCAACTATGAAGGTGATTGAATGCAGCGAACACTGAGAACATGATTGTAAAATACATAGCCTATGTTGGGCAAACATGCTGATGGGAACCCTTTTGGGGGTGGGGGTGGGGGCATCCTATGTGCAAGCCCTAGGCCCAGAAGCCTGGGAGCTCAGATATCCTCTAGTCTTGCTTGATCCTAGCCAAAAGGCCAAGGGGCAGCTAGGGTCAAAGCATGAAACCAGTCCCCCATTGCCTTTTTTATGTTTGTGTGTGTGTGGCCCTTAAAAAAAAAAAAAGGCAAATATTCCCCCTGCAAGGAGCTGGCACTGGGCCTTAAGGCACTGCAACACCAGCCAGCACCAGGCGGTCCAGAGCCCACCCAACACCCTCCCCCTAGCAACAAAATTACTACATTTGATATAGTGATGGGAAGCCACCACAAATATAGGTTAGTGCAACCCATCTGAATATGGTAGTGCCCATTAAGCCCAGTCTTCCTCAACACTAAGTCTTTTTCAAGTTACGGTGAGCCACAACATTGCATACATTTTGACTATGCATACATTTTTACTTCCTCTTCACTTCCACAGCTGAGTAGCATATTTGTTTCCCATTTCCAAATAATCCTGTTTCTTCACCAGCCTTAAATGCCTGGAAAACATTACCACATGGTGTCCCAAACAGTTCACTCAAAATACTTCTCTTGCCTCCTCTTTCAGTCTGATGCACATAAGTGTGGCTCTTCCCTCCATGACATGAAGCCAGACAAGCTTGCCCTGCACCTCATCTGCATATAAATTTTCGAAAGATCACAGTTCCAGACATGAGTAGGGACTAATTAGCATATGGATACTTTGTAGTGGGGGTATCTGACACACGCGCACGATGGCTAGGGACAGAAATTACACATAAACTGGTTTAAGTCTATAGAAATTGGTTTAAACCTGTAAGAGAACAGAAGCTCATTGCACATAAACCACCTGGTTGAATGTAGTATCAGACTTAACTGATTTAGGTCAAACCAATTTATGAAAACTCTATCCCAGACCCCTTCCTGGTTCAAGTTAAATCAGTCCCCCAGCATCCCAGCATAGGCTGTGTGTTCACTTTCTCTTCCTACTGCCCCTGAGGTCTCCGAGATTTGCAGTCCAGATCCACAGCCAACAGGACTCCGTAGGGTTGTTCCTTTCTGTTCAATGCATGCTTGCTTCAGAGAAAGGACTATTCTTATTCAAGCTTTTATGGATTCAATGCCATTACCTTTTTCCCTGTCCACCTCCTCCTCAGTCTGGCTGCCCCCCACCCAGG